TTGTGCTATGAGAAATGATGAGCAGGCAGACTTCAGAAAAACCTGGAAAGACCAGTACGGTCAGATGATGAGTGAAGTGAGCAGAACCACAGTAACAGCCATATTGCATGATGACTAATATTGATAGATTTAACCCTTCCCAGAAATACAAGGATCTAAGACATCTCCAAAGGCCTCATGAGGGAAAATGCTATCCACATCCAAAAGAAAGAACTATGGAGTTTGAATGCAGATTGAAGCACAGTATTTGCTATTTTTTTCTTCTGTTCTGTTTTGTTTCCTCTTTCTGGTGGTCCCTCCTACTGGTTCTAATTCTTACTTACAACATCACCAATGTGAAAGTATGTTTAATAGGAATGTATATGTATAGCCTATATCAGATTGTGTGCTGTCTTGGGGAGGGTTGTGGGGAGGGAGGGAGAGAATTTGGAACTTAAAATTTGAAAAAAAAATAATTTAAAAATTATTTTTACACATAATTGGGAAAAAATAAAATATCAAAATAAGACCAAAGGCAGGATATATTTTTATGGGGGTCATCTGGTATAGAAGCGAGCAGAGCTGCCAATGAATACCTGCTTATCATAATGAAGTTTAAACATGTTTGGAAGTTTGCATGCAAAACAACATAAATCATGTTTTCTGAAAGTCATAATCTTGTCTTTCTAAAACAAAACATTTATCTTTAATGTATCTGATTACGTTCAATTGTCATGTCAGTTAGAAAACAGTATAAAGACCAGAGAGACTAGCTGTTCCAATTTCCCCATAAGATGTCTTGACCAACATATCCTGTGCAGTGCTTGGAACTTTGACAAAAGCCTTGGCAGCATGCCCTCTCACCCCAGGACCTGTTGTCATTGGAGACCAGCTGTCAATCTGGGACTTCTTAAAGCCAGCCTTTTCCATTATTAGTAGGATCAGGTTGTATGCCTGCCTTCCTAAACCTCCTTCATGAATGAATCTTTGGCTCTTGCCAATAATTTATACTTAATTTCAGAATCATATTAGAAGCAAGCCCATGACCTCAGCAGGTCTAGAGCTACTGTGCTCCTGTGTCAGTTCTGACTATACCTTTGGAGGAGCCTCTGGAACAAGTACAATCTTCTTGCGAGAAGTGGTAGCCATCCTTGAGATGAGTGGTCAAGCCTTGGCAGGGCTTACCAGGTGACATGGGCCTTAAAGGAGTTGTTTAGTTGTGCAATTAGGAGTCTTTATGTGGTGATCATTTATTTCATGTGAATGAAACCATTTCATGTCCTGCATCAGATCAACATTATACATTGAATACTTTATGCTTTTTTGGGGGGACCCTTGACTTATGCAAAATGTAAGTTTGAAGTGGTTTTCACTTGGCCTTCATAATGGAGCTTAAAGCCAGTGCAGTAAAGACCCTGACCCCTTCTTTTGAGGCTGCACTGTTCCAGGACTATACCCAGTACCTGAGGCAGCCCAGAGTGGAGGGGCCTTCCTGGGAAAGGGGATCCCTAGGCCTCTGCCCAGCTTAGGTCTGTTTTTACTTCATCATGTTGTTTTCCTAGATAAATTAGAAGTTTCTTCAGGGCAGGCATTGCTTGATTTTTTTGTCTTTTTATCTCCAGCAACTAGAACAGCACATGGAACACAGCAGGTATTTAATAAATGCTTTTTGATTAATTTATGGTGTGGTTCTGTGAAAATCTGCATCTTTCCAGAACAGCTGAAAATAATGGGGGCATAGGCTGCCCAGGACTGAATAAAACACTTACTGTGGTGACTTTCCTGAATGCTTTGCAATAATAAGTTCTTCAATATTTTGCTGAAATTGAAGGAATTAGAATAGGGAATGAGGAAACAAAACCATCACTCTGTAGATGATATGGTGGTATACTTAGAGAATCCTAGAGAATCAAGTAAAAAATTACTTGAAATAATAAACAAATTCAGCAAAGTTGCAGGACAGAAAATACACCCACATAAATCATTGACATTTCTATATATTACTAACAAGGCCCAGCAGCAAGAGATAGAAAGATAAATTCTATTTAAAATAAATGCAGACAATATAAATTATTTAGGAGTCTGCCTGCCAAGACAAACCCAGGAACTATATGAACAGAATTACAAAACACTTTTCACACAGATAAATTTAGATCTAAATAACTGGAAAATTATCAGTTGCTCATGGGTAGGCTGAGCTAATATGATAAAAATGCCATTTCTACTTAATTAATTTACTTATTCAATGCCATAACAATCAAACTACCAAAATCATTTACAGAGCTAGAAAAAGTAATAACAAAATTCATCTGGAAGAAAAAAAGGTCAAGAATATCAAAGGAATTAATGAAAAAAAATACAAAGGAGGGTGGCCTAGTTGTACCAGATCTAATACTATATTATACAGCAGCAATCATCAAAACTATCTGGTACTGGCTAAGAAATAGAGTGGAGAATCAGTGGAATAGGTTAGGTCCGTAAGACACAGCAGCCAATAATTACAGTAACCTATTGTTTCATAACCCCAAAGACTCCAGCTGCTGGGGTAAGAACTCACTCTTTGACAGAAACTTACGGGAAAACTGGAAAACAGTATGACAGAAACTAGGCACAGACTGACATCTTATACTATATACCAAGTTAATGGCATGATTTAGACATAAAGGGGCAAGAAATAGTTTACTTGTCAGATCTATGGAGAAGGGAAGAATTTATGAACAAACAAGAGATAGAGAACATTATGAAATATAAAATGGATAGTTTTGATGACATTAAATTGAAAAGGCTTGGATTACATTAAATAAAAAGCCTATGCAGCCAAGATGAGATGGAAAGCAGAAAGCTAGGAAATAATTTTTACTGACAGTGTATCAGATAAAAGCCTCATTCCTAAAATATACAGAGAACTGATTCAAATTTATAAGAATAAAAGTCATTCCCAAAATGACCATTGAGAAATGGTCATAGGATATGAATAGGCAGTTTTTAGATGAAGAAATCAAAGCTACGTAAACGCATATGAAGAAGTGCTCTAAATCACTGTTGACTAGAGAAATGCAAATTAAAACAACTCTGGTGTACCATTTCACATCTATCCATTTGGCTAATGACACAAAAGGAAAATGATAAATGTAGGAGAAGAAATGTGGGGAAATTGGAACACTAATGCATTGTTGGTGGAGTTGTGAACTGATTCAACCATTCTGGAGAGCAATTTGGAACTATGCGGAAAGGGCTCTAAAGCTGTGCATACTCTTTGATCCAGGAATACCATTACTAGGTTTGTATCCAAAAGAGATCATAAAAAATGGAAAAAGACACACATGTGTCTTTCCAGTCACCTACATAGCAGAATTGGAAATTGAGGGCATGCCGCTCAATTGGGAAATGGCTGAACGCTATTGTGCTACAAGAAATGATGAACAGGCAGATTTCAGAAAAACCTGAAAAGACTTACAATGAAATGATGCTGAGTGAAATGAGCAGAGCCAGAACATTGTGCACAGTAACAGCAACATTGTGTGATGATCATCTTTGATGGACTTGGCTCTTCTCAGTAATACAGTGATGTAAGACAATTCCAAAACATTCATGATGGAAAATGCTCTCCACATCCAGAGAAAGAACTATGGAGTCTGAATGCAGATCAAAGCATACTACTTTCATTTTTTGTTGTATTTTCTTTCTTGTGGTTTTCCCTTTTTGTTCTGATTCTTCTTCCACAAGATGACTAATGTGTTTAATGTGCTTGTACATGTAACCTATATCAGACTGTTTGCTGTTTTGGGGAGAGGGGACGAGAGAAAATGAAGGAGAAAAAATCTGGAAAAAATCTTATAAAAGTGAATGTTGAAAACTATCTTTATATGTAACTGGATAAAAAATACTAGTAAGTGAGGAATAAAAAGAAAAAAACCCAAAAAAGTAATCATTTTGCTAAAATGAATTCATTTCCATAACTATCAATAAGGCATTAACTTTTCAAGGAGAAAAAATTTGGGGCCTAAGGGCCAGTCCTAGGGAAAATGTACAACTTATTACTTGTCTTTAACTCAAACTGCATTGTTCAGTCACCTTTAGTAGGAGATTTCCATGCTTAATTAAGGTTAATTTAATATGGGTTAAAATGAGAAATCTTTAGTGGTTTCCAGTCACCTACTATATACAAATTAAATTGCTAACTCTTGGCAGTCAAGGCCTCTAATATGCAGTCCCAATATATGTGTACCTTGATCATATACCACTTCTCAAAATTCTGTCTTCTAAGCAAACTGGAAAACTTTTAAATCCCTCATTCTTATCCACATGGAAGGCATACTGCTCTTCTGCTTCGAATAGGTGTCACCTTCCTTTCTCTCTGCTCCCAACCATCCAACTCCAACATATTCCCAATTCTATCTCTCTCTTCCTTCAAAAATTCACCTCAGGTGCCTCTTCCTTCATGAAGTTTGCCCCAGTCTCCCAGGTAAAAGTATCCCTTCCAGAAGGCAAAGACCAGCATTGTCCATAAGAAAATCTCTAAGACAGGCCTGCACAACATATGGCCCATGGATTTTGGGTGGCCCATGAAAAATGTAGAAGATGTAAAAGAAAGTTAACATGTAACAAGTGCTTTGTCCATGCCCTGAATAACCCACCTTCCACTAGTCAATTTAGTGCCGATCATGTAACTTGGTGGGTAGATTGCCACTGTGTACTCTCTCCTGTTTATCACATGATCTATGGCAACCAGCATCTTTAGCCTGTCTCTACTCTGAGAGAAGTGATTTCATGATGAATAAAAATCTTAAGTAGTAAGTGTAATTAATTGACATTAATTGAAATTTCTCTTTTTAAAAACACGGTTTATTTGCAAAATAGTTTAATCACTAATTATACTTTCACTTTGAAAATGAGCCACTAAAAATCTATCTGCCGCCCAAAGGAGTTTAGCCTATTTTAATTTAGGCCCTTGCCAATGCCAATGTGTGCGGGTTTGCTCTAAGACCTTCCTAAGCTGGGTCTTAACAGTTGGTGCTTACTGTTGACTGGGTTTGAACTAATTCTGTCAGTAGGGCAAAAAGCCTCAGCTGAGAGAAAGGAGAACTAAGTAGGGAGGAAAAAGACAGAAATTGAGCTAACTGGTCAGAGAGAGGTGACTCATTGGTTTTACACATGAAATCCTTTCAGTACTAGAATACATGAGGAGTCTGGAAACCTGGACCTGCAAACAGAGACTGAAACGGGGATGGTGAACAACCCTCAGGAGAAAGAAACATTGTAGATTAACTTGGGTTTACTCAGCCCTCCCACTAAGCTCTCCCCATTTATGGCATCCTCTCAATTCCACAGAATAACAAGGGGAATATGGACAGACATAATAAGGGGCTCCTTTCTCACAAAATCCTTTCATTCAACTAAGAATTCTTAAGCACTGACTGTATACAAAGTACTAGGCTTGCAACCACGTAGGATAGGAGGGCCAAAACATGGGCAGCTGCAGCTTATAACACTTGAGGTAGACCAGGTCTCAGTCTCAGGCTCCTTTTGTCAGATGCCTCTTTCCTTCCCCTTGCACAGAGCAGGGCCCCTTCCTAGCCCCTCCTCCTTATTTTTTTAAAATATGACTCCTCCAGCAGTCCCAGGGGCACAATGAATGATACAGATGACACATTATTTATTTAGGAAGAATACAGAGAAAAGACTGGGATTAATGCAGAAAGGGTAGCAGTGTAACAAAGAAGGAGTCTGTATGGGAACAGCAGAAGCAGACTTCCTTCTCCCTGAGGCCCTGAACCAAGAGAGGGTAGATAACATCCAGAACAGAAGGGGGAAACTACAGGGTCTGTTGGGAGATGGAGGATGGCAAATGGCCTCCAGGCACAGGAGAAAGCTGGCTCCAGGACAATGACTCAGCTGCTCCTCCCTCCTGGATGACTAGGGATCCTGGCCAGGAAAGCAGGGATGGAAGGCACTGTCTTGGAAGGATGCAATCCAAAGGTCACCTCAGCAGGCCTGCAGGGGGGAAGACAGTCATTACAGGCTGCAGACTCTTCCAGCAGCAGCTCTACTTCTCCAAGTGGAGGGGAAGCCTGATGATCCTTGGGAGGTAGAGTCCCCATTAACCCTTCCTGTGCCCTCAAATCACTACTCAAAGAGATTTTCCCATTTTTCTTATTAAAATATAGATTTTTCCCTCTTCTCCTGCCCCCTGGAACCCTGAGAGTGTCTCTGAAAACTCTGATCTCAAAGGGAAGGGATACTGCCTGAAGCAGGACTTCTGCTGAATCATGGGATATTTGGAGAATAGTCCTGGAAACTTCTTGTAGCAATAGGGTGAAGTATCACTGATTGTACCACTCCCTCTCCCATCCTAAGGAGCTGTTGATGCCCCAATTAGGGAGCAAAAGAGCCTAGTAAGGGAACGACAAAACGAAAGTTATGCTCATTCTTTTAGTCTGTGAGCTCAGGGATGGAGAATTATGATCCTTGGCCACAAAGGGAAAGGGATATTACCTGTAGGCTGAGGCCCAGTGCGTCCTGAGGAGGCAGGGGAAAAATGAGAAAGAACAATACAAGGTCACAGTCAAATCGTTATAGTGGGGAGGATTTCTACCCTACAGTTAGGAAGCTCATCCACCACCCCAACATGAGGCATCCTAAACTTTTACCCCATTATGTCTGAGGAATTCTACTCACAACAAAAGGGGAGGGGAAGTTCAGGGGCTGTAAAAGCCTGAGGGGTCTTCTCTCTTTGTCAGACTCAGCATTTGGCTCTCACTCTATCCCTCAATCACAGAATCCTTCTATTCCACATTGTCTCTCACCCCCCGGATTTGCATCTGACCTCCTGAGATAAGTTCCCCCTACAGGATACGGGGCAGGAGCTGGGGCCAAAGCCAGAGCCCCATGGCCTCCCCGACATGCTCCTTACCTTTCTGGTTCTTGAGGTGGATGAAAAGTCCTACACCTAGGAAGATCAGCCCCAGGACAAAGCCTCCAATTCCACTCAGCAATTTGCTCTGGGCAGAGTCAGACTGTGCTCCTGCAGAGAACATGCCTTGGGGTCATCACTTATCAGTCCTCTCCATCCCACCCTCTACCAGTGATTTAAAACTGCAGAGCCCAGCCTGGTTTGGGGGGCATTAAGAAATTGACAGGTGAGGTGGGGCAGAAGGCTGGATTCCCGCTCCAACTCCACTGAGTGAGAAATGGAAAGAAAAAGGCCAAGGGAGGTCAGGGAGAATGACTGCTTTTCTGAGGACATTTCCCATTTCTTGATCTCAGAGACATATAAAGAGTGAATTCCCAGAGGTAAAGATGATCCATCTCCTAGGGTAAGGGACAGTCAAGGGAATTTGGATCCCCAGGAGAGAATGGACTAAGATTCTGCAAGTTCTTCCTGTTGAAGAATGCGTTTACAGAAAGCACCAGGATTCTGTGGATGCTAGCTCGATGCTGCAGCCAGGAAGCTATACTGGGACAGGGAGTAGGATGCATATGATCCAGGGCATAGGAAGGGGGTCTGTGGGAATATTCACTGAAGGACCTCCAGAGCTATGGAACTCCCTGTCCTGGGGTTTAAGGAGAGGGCAGGCTGGGGACAGAATAAGGGAGTTGGCTCTCACTCCATTCCACACTGATGGGGCTCTGCAGGCTGGCATGCTCCACACTGCAGGTGTAGATGTCTCTGCTCTGGGGAATCATTTCCAACATGACTAGGATCTGGTAGGTCCAGTCTCCATGTTGTATCACACCCGTGGACACAACCCCAGCTGTCTCCTCCTGCCCATTCTTGAGCCAGGTGACCTTGATCTTGCTTGGATAGAAGCCAGTGACAGAGCACACCAGCAGGTGCTGCAGGGCCTCTGTCTTGGAGGGGGAGATGGTCACTCTGGGCTGGACTGCAGGGTGAGAGAGACACAGTGTGAGGAGACAGAGAAGCTTCTTTCCCCTACAAACAGTCCCTTCTTTCTGGTGAGGGTCCCCCTGGCTGTCAGGCCCTGAAGGCCTCCCCCAGAGGTGCCCAGCACAGGCTCAGAGATGCTCTCCCTTGTCGGGGTGGGGGTAGGGTCAGACCCTCCAGGCACCCATAGTGCCCCTGGGAGACTGTCTGGGTCCGCACAGGGTCCCCTCAGCCCTGGCTTTGGCAGCAGCCCCTTGGGTGGGGGGGTCCAGCCTCCTCTGGGTGAGCTCAGGACACACATTCAGGACAGGGGTCAGGGTCCCACCCTCTCTCGGTCCCGGCCCCGGAGGTCAGGGGGTCACTCACCTCTTCTGTCCACCGCGAAGGGCTTCTCTATCTCGTAGTTGTGTCTGCACACCGTGTCCACGTAAGCTCGATATTCCTCCAGGATTTCCTCCTGACTGTTCCAGTACTTAGCATCGGGCCGCCCCAGCTCCGTCAGAGCCACGAACTCCCCCACGTCGCTGTCGAAGCGGACAATTTCCTGGTCATTGTAGAAGCGTCTGGCCACAAGCCGCACCCGCTCCGTGCTGTTGGTGAAGTAACACTCTCCCTTGAACTGATACACGAAATCCTCTGCGGACAGACCCGGAGCAGCGTCAGCCGCCGGCAGACTGACCAACCGCCGCCCCAGTGACCGGGCGAGGACCGCCGGCCTTCAGCGCCTCTCTCGTTACCTGCATGGCCTCCCTCTCTGAGCCCTTTGTTCCCAGCTCCCCCTCACTCCTCAGAGGCCGGGGCGGGGTCGCTGGTTCGGCCCATCCTGGGACAGTGAGGCCACGCTCCTGCCTCGCCCCTCCCCCTTCTGCCATGGAAGTTTGGGAGCCATCCTCGGGTCTGGAGGCTCAGGGAGGCAGCTATCTCCCTACAAAGATGACCCCGGAGACATGCAATAGCTGGTGCCTTCCTACTTCCGGCCCCACCCAAAACACACACACACCCCCTTCACATACCGCAGTACTCAGAATACACATTCACACATATTCACCCACACACACGCACACACACACATACACAAGTACACACATTCACACAGATACAACCCTCACATACACAATTACACATATTAACTCATACAATCATCTCAAGTGGAGAAGGTCGGAATGGGAAGTGAGGAGAGCCACAGAAAGTTACATCTGAGACGCACAGACACAAGTAGGGCAAGAGAAGGGGCTGAGCTCCTTCCTCCTTCTGGGAAATCCCCTCATGATCCTCCTCCTGCCTGCTCCCTTTCCTGCACGGAGCTGCCTCTCCTTGGCTTATCAAGACCTCACTTTCTTCCAAGGCTTTCCTTCAGCCTGAACCAAGACCCCACCCCCCATCACCCAATCTGAGTAACCTTTCCCTATTTCCCAGTATAGATGCATGGATCAGCAAATGTCCTTCACCCTGACGCAATTGTCCTACCCCAAATGTTTCTGTTCTATTTGAAAAAATTCCGAAGTGAATCCAACATCAGGTTCACTTAGTCCAATCCCACACTTTTACACAGGAAGGAACTGAGGAACAGCCTGTTGAAATGACTTACCCAGGGACACTGGGCTAGTTAGTAACACAGCTGGGGGTGCAACACAAGTCTTCTGACTCCAGACTCAGTTATCTTTTCCACAAAACCACTTTGCTTAGTAACTTACAGTGGATATCCCACATTGGTAGAAAAATAGATGAAGGGTTTAATCAAGAAAAATAAGCTAAGTTCAAGGAATGTCATGGTCAGTGGGTAACTAGTGTAATCTAAGGTAGGCAAGGAAGAAGTCCAGTGCTGAAGAAAAGGTGCTTTCAACCCAGAGTGACATCATTAAGTCCCTACTATGTGCAAAACATTTTTAAGCCCCTTGAAATACAAAAATACCCCACAGAACCTGTTCATTTCATAGTTACAATCCAAAATGGGGAGAAAGACACCTAGATAATAATACAAAAAAAAAAGAGAGAGAGAGAGAGAAAGAAAGAAGGGAGTCAGTGAAAGAAGAGGAAGTGACAAATTGGTAAGACAAATTTGAGAAGGATCACTTCATTTGCCTAGAAGTTGAGTTTTTTGGGGTGGAAAGGGCTGGGCTGAAATATTTGGAAGAAGAATCCAAGATTGACTGGAAACCAGGAATCTTGGAGAAATTCCCTAGTGCCAACATGCTATGTTCCAGGGCCTTGGACAGATCTGTTCCTTCCTCCCTGCACCCCAGTTTCTTCTCAAAGTCCCCTCATCTCACTTAGATTGGAGCTATGTCAGTCCCCTGTGACCAGACAGAACAGTTAAGGTAAGGAACTAGGACACACATAGACAGGAAGAGAACTGGGCAAGGGGATCTTCACACTCATCTTTGGCCTCTCCTAACCTGGTGCCAGGATACTGCAGGTCTAAGGACAATGAGCATAGAGTGATTCCCCAATTAGATGTATTCAAAAGACAATTATGAGGAAATCTGAGGAAAGAGAGAACACTATAACCTGGAGAGATCAAGGAAGTTTTCATGGAGGATGAGGCACTTGAGCTGTTCCTTGAAGGAAGTCAAGGCTCAGAAGCAGAGATGAGGAGGGAGTACATTCTAAGGATGAGGAGCAGCTTATGCAAATACTTGGAGCAGTGAGATGAGAGTTAAATTCTGGGAAAAGCTGAGTGAATAGTTCAAGTGGAATGAGAAGTGTTCAAAGGAGAGTAAAATGAACTGAGAGTTGGGTTGGGCTTTAAATGTCAGGCTGAGGAATTGGGAATTGGTCCTAGAGACAAAGCGAAGAGACAGACGTTTTGTGAGAAGACTGGGAATATTTAACATTGATGTGAACAATGGATTGAGGAAAGAAATGCTCAGAACAGGGCTGACCTGAGCATTGAGAAACCCGCAGAAGATGTAGTGCAGGTGAGAGATGAATTTTCTCAAGGGAACCTCCTCAATCCTCAAACAGTCCCCTCAGTCCCACTACTTTGCTCATGGCCACAGAAACATACATTGATGCCAGAGTAGCCTTTGGTGGCTTTGGTGTCTTTCGAACTCTGACACAGCTCTCCCTGCTCCACCACCTACCCCAAATGATCACCCGGTTTTTTTCTGGGGAAGGAGCTCTACTCAGTCTAACCAGTGGCAGAAATTTTCCATCCTCTTCTTGGAAGACCAAGAACACCATGGAAGACCCAGGGAGCAGTATCACTGCACTTACCTGGGATGTCCCTGGCCCAAGAAGCAGGTAGACTCAACACCATCGATGTCATTAACAGACCAATCTTCCCGCAGCCAGCAGAGATCCAAACATCAACCATGTTAGAGATGAGCAGGAGTCCAGGGAATAAGCAAACAGCAGAATGGATGGTCTCTAGTCAATCAACAGGACTTAGCACCTCACTTGTTGGAGAAAAAGACCTGGCTGGTATCTTTAAGTCTCCTAACATTAAAAAGTGACTAAAAGAGGAACCAATAAGCTTTAAAGGCTGAGATGTGTCATCTGTCTCCAGGCAGGAAGTTGTTGTGAAGGGCCAGCTAGGACACTTCTTGGCAGAAGAAATAAGTAGGCTAGATGCAAACCTTTATAGCCTCTGAAATGAACTTGCTTCTTCACTTGTCCCTTGCTTTGCTCATATCTTCAGCCTCTCCTCTTTTGTGTTTAAAAGGCATCCCATTAGAATGTGCATTCATTGAGAGCATAATCGTATCTTCAGCCCTTAACACAGTCCTTTGCACATAGTAAGAGGTTACTTAAGTTCTTTATTCATTCTTTAAAAAATATACAGATTTATAAATATAATGTTTTACATGCACTTAATGCTTCCAGATTACAAGGTGCTTGTCTTATAGTAACATCACAACAATTCAATAGTAGTAGGAGAATTTTAGCATAGGTATTCCATATATAGCAGATGAGACATTGGTTCAATATTCAGGAATCACAGATCTTTTTGAATTCTCAACTGTCTGGGATTTCCCTTCTTGACTATCCACCTGTATGAATTTAATCTGCCAGCCTGTGTCCATGATATACTTTTTTTTTTTTAGGGAACTGGGGTTAAATGACTTGCCTAGGCTCACACAGCTAGTAAGCATCAAGTGTTTGTTCTGAGGCCGGATTTGAACTCAGGTCCTCCTGACTTCAGGGTCAGTGCTCCATCCACTTTGCCACCTAACTGCCCCTGGGTCATTTTTGAAAACACCAGTCTAGGTGTGACTGGCCATAATCCTAGACAACATACTTTAATAATATACAATTATTTGAATAATATTTGAATAATACATAACAATATTTGAATAATATATAAAATATAATATACCATAGACCTCAGCTCTCTCCTGCAAGAAAGAGGCTGACTCAATGTTGCACCTCCAGCAGATGGTAGCAGAGGGCAGCAGATAGGCTAAATAGCAGAAGAATAACGAAGGAGAACAGTGCTTTACATCCTTAAAGGATATTTTCATCTCTGAGGCATCACAGCTGTGAACTGCTTCTGCATTATGTCTGCTGTGCTGAATGTGTCTCCTGCACATATGCCCCTTCTTATATGCTGTGGTCACATGTGTCCCTTATATGGATGTCTCTCCGTGGATTTCCCTCCATGGATGTTCCCTAGTCACACTTATCTCTTGCATGCACTCTTCCGTACTGAAAATGTAACTGGGCCCTTGTGAAGATGAGACTATTTCCTTGTCATTTAATTGGATGTTCTTTTAGATTAAATGTCTTTTGCTTTAAGTTAATAAAAAGCATTTGTGTGTGTGTGTAAAAACTGGATTTGAATCAGAGGATGTGTGTTCCTATTCCAACATTGTCATTCCAACATTTGTCACCTTTGCAAGTCATTCCATCCCTCTGGGATTCATTTTCTGCTACTTGAAAATGAGATCCTTCTAATTAAATGATCTTTTATCTCTTAATCTGTTATTCTGATGAACTCCCTCTGGTTAGCCCAGCAAAAGCAAATATATTGATAGGGGCTTGTGACCAGTTGTTTTAAGTGGATGCTGACACACAGAATTCCTAAAGGCTCATGTGGGAGGGTTGATCCAGCTGGTACATATCCTTCCTTCCTTCCTTCAGTTTTTCCTTCTTCCCCTCCTTCTTTTCTCCATTGCTTCCTTCTTCCTTCCTTCCTTTCTTCCTTTGACACTGTTGGCCTTAGAATCTAGAAAGCTTGAGTTCAAATCTCATCCCTGACACTGGATGTGTAACTGTTGGATCCTCATTCTACTCATAATCTGGTTCTACTCATAATGAGATTGTTTTGGGCATAAATTTGATATTGCGTGAATGAATGAAAAACAACTCAGTAAGTGCTTCCCATGTGCTAATTACTAGGGAAATAAGCAGAAATTGCAAGACAGTCCCCGCTTACAAGAAGCTCCCATATAACTTGGGGGAAATGACAGGAGTGAGAGCCCAGCTGCAGGTGGCTGACAGTGCTGGGGGTCTGGAGGGCAGATGGTAAGGCCTGGAGGACCTTAGGAGTCAGTGACAGGACAGATGTGAAGCCTGGTGGTTCTTTAAACTGTTTTGCAAGCATTAAAATATTATATAAATGCCAGTTATTTTCCTTCTTCCCCGTGACAGCCTCTCAAATGTCTGAAGACTAACATTATGTTAGGCTTCTGTCCTCAAGGTAAACATCCACAGCTATGTTAGCTGCTCCATGTATAGCTTGGTTTCTGGTCTACTCACTGTTTTTGTTGTCTTCTTCTGGATGCGTGCCAGCTATTGATGCACTTCCTTAAATGAAGCTCCAGAACTGAGCACAATACTTCATATGTGGTCTGACCAGGACAAAGAATAGTGGAAATATCACTTCCCACATTGGAGTACAAACTTACTTCAAAACGGTATTTGTTAAATGCCAGTTGTGGGGAGGGAGTTTTGATAGGCCCTAGGAGAGATGCAAAAATTTGTTTTATGTTTTTTTCACTTAATTGTATTTTATCATGGATCCAATGCAAATGTTGTATGTTATTCTATTGATTCTTAAGTCTTTCTATACCATCCTTCTTTACAATGTTCCTTTTCCTGTACCTATCATACTGGTTGTGCTCACTTCATTCTGCGTTAGTCCATACTACCTTTGGGGATTCTATGAAATCATCTTTGTGTACCACATTTTGTTCAGCCATTCCTGAACCGTCTAAGGCACCCCTTTAAATCTTAGTTCTTTGCTTTCTCTTTTCCCCCCGCTTTCACTGTCATCTAAACCCCTGGCTAATCATCCTATCTGTCTCTACCACAAATATTTTCCTACGTGCTGATAAGTCCAAGAACCCTGGAATCAGCACTATCTTACAAACAATAGGCTCTGTGTCCCGCACATGCCATGAAATCACATATGACATGGCAACTGACTGTGCAGGTGTTAGTGTACCTATCTCCTCAGCAACCATAGTTACTGAAGAACTAGAAAACAAAATTCACAACACCACAGTCTTTGGACTGACAAATGGTTGGATGGATGTGTCAATGGAAATGACACTAAAGAAGATGAATTACAATAAGCACTTCTTTTGATGAGGGCATGCCATGCTGGGTAGTGCTGTGCCTGTGTCTCCCACATCACACAATCAATTCCAAAGTTCTTTAGAGAGAACTTAAGAGTGTCCTTGTATTACTTCTTTGATCATATTGACTATATTTGCTTTAGGAAGAAAGCAACAGAAAGAAGGAAGGAAGGAAGGAAGGAAGGAAGGAAGGAAGGAAGGAAGGAAGGAAGGAAGGAAGGAAGGAAGGAAAAGCAGTTATTAAGTTCTTGCTAGGTAAAAGGCACATCTGATTACTGTACGTGTGAAATTGAAGTCATAGCCTTGAAACATTTAAATTCCCAACAACAGAGTGAGATTCTTTGCTCCAAAGAACTCAGTCAGTCTCTTTTCCCACCCATTTAGATTCTTAGCATTAGAGTCCAGAGGATGTAGAACACTGGATGACCATGGAACCCTTTCCTCTGAAGCTCGGATCACTAATTTAAAAAAAGATTATTTATTTATTCATTTATTTATTCATTTACTTATTTATTCATTCATTCATTCATTCATTCATTCATTTATTTATTTGCTTATTTATTTGTTTGTTTATTTATTTATTTATTTATTTATTCATTTATTCGTTTATGGCATCCATTTTTTAAAATGTTGAGTTCTGAATTCATTCTTCCAAGCCCTACTCACCGACTGAGAAAGCAAGCAGTATGATATCAAGTATACAGGCAAAATTTTGCACAGTATATTTCCATATTAGCTATATTACAAAAAAAATTAAGCAAGAAAAATAAAGTGAAAAAAGTATGCATCATTCTGCATTCAATATCCATCAGTTAATTCTTTTTGTAAATAGTAACAGTGATGCTGTGTAATGATAAGCCATGAATGAGTTAGAGGGGCAGCTATGTGGCTATGTATGTGCTGTGGAATATGTATGTGCTATGATGGAACACCGGCCCTTGTTGAGGGCTTGCACTGATGGGTTTGAGGATTTAGGTCAGGCCGGGTTATTCCTGTTCCTGTCCATTATCTAAGAGCCACCTAGGTCAGAATGTAGGCTCTCCGACCTCTCCCAGGCACTGTCTTTCCCTTGAGAAGATGAAGCATTTTCAGCAAACCTTGAAAGATTACTGGGAAGCGAGGAGACGACTCCTGGGGAGAGTCCCCCCAGTTACTGTTACCATGAGAAAAATTATTGTAGATACTTGGCTTTTTCCACTCTGGTTCTGTTCCCACGACTGGGGTATAAAAACCCCAGCCCTCAGATCAATAAACGGAACTGGTTCTGAACCTGTTACCCATCTGGCCCGCTTATCTCTTTATCTGGAAAATAAACACTGTCAGGGACACAGGTGCCCATGACAGGCCCTGGAGTCAGGAGGACCTGAGCTCAAATCCAGCCTCACACACATAACACTTACTAGCTGTGTGACTCTGGTAAAGTCACTTAATCCCACTTCCCTCACAAACAAACAAAAAACCAAAACAAAATAAAACAACAACAACAACAAAACCTGTGAATAACTTAGCTATTCTCAGCAATACAGCCATCCAAGACAATTTCAAAGGACTCAGGATGAAAAATGCTATCCTCTGCAAATCAATGGGCATCCTCCAATTTCCAGTTTTTTGCCACTACACAAAGACCAGGTTCATATTTTCATTCTATATGTCTATTTTTTTAAACAATATTTTTTTTCTTATCTATTCTGTCATGCTTTCGTCTAATTATTCCATTCATTCACATCAAAGTCATTAGTGTTCTGCTTGGGATTTTTCTTTCATATATTTCTTTAATATTTTTATCACCTTCCTCTTTTAAAATCAGTACTTTGTCTCTGCCATTAATTTTGCTTAAATTATTTGGATGTCATTCTATTCCCACAGATTGTGTCCTTCTCTGCTTCCATTTGCCTTCTTTTATCCTAGTCACTGGGTTCTATTT